ATTCACACACTCACACACATACCTTGGGCTGGCAGTGCTTGCACACCGTCTTCTCCCCAGGCCCCAGCGCGGCCTTGCAGCCCAGGCAGGTGACCTTCTTCTGCGCAAATCGCATGATCCCCCCCGATCCTGAGCTGGGGGTGGACACCAGGATGGCGCGAGTGTGGGCGCCGCAGAGCAGGTCGCGCGGGTTCCGCAGGATGGGTTCGAACAGGCGCATCAGCGGCTGGGCCAGGTAGTGGTCCAGGTAGTGCTGCGAGTCGATGGGCAGGTTGTTGCGCAGCACGTACAGCGGGTCCTCCGCCTTCTCGTAAGCCTTGGCCCCTCGCGCCGCCTTGATGATGACGTAGGGCACGCGGTCGCCCATGGCGGGGGCCGTCGCCGGGTCGCGCTTCTTCATTTTCTTCGCCAGCTCCACGTGCGCGGCCTTGGTCTCGTAGTCGGCCGCGTCCTGGGTCAGGCCCTGTGATGGGACGGTGGTGGGGTGATGCTTGTGCAGGGTGGTGAGATACTTCTGGGTGTTAGCGGAGGCAAGGAGAGGGAATGAGGTGAAGGGATGCTCGTGTGTCTCCCAACTCCATCTACACACACCCCATCCCCCCCATTCCACCACAAAGTATGCTCACCTTGGACACCACCAGCAAGCTCAGGTCCAGCTTGTTCATGAGCAGGTCGGCGATGACGCCCTTGACGTACTCCGCCGCCCTTTCCGGACTGCGCTGCACCAGGATCATGTCCAGGCAGGTGGTGATCACATTGCGCACCAGCAGGCAGTTATCGCGGCGAACCGTCTCGATGCCCTTGGTGTCGATCTTGTCCCAGGCCTCGGCCCGGGTCCACAGCAGGCCCGCATACCGCTTCTTGCTGATCAGCAGGTAGGGGTTGTACACCTTTGGGGGGCGGGGGGGTGGGGTGGGGTGGAGGGCGAGGGGGTGGGCAGGGACGGGGTTGGATGACAAGCTGAGGAAGTCGCGAAAGGCATGGTGCTTGCAGGATGGCTCGTGGGGTGAAGCACGGCATCCCTGCCCCCCCTCAAACCCATACCTTCTCGAATTCCAGCTTGATGGGCTGCACAAAGGTCTTGGACACCAGATCCGCGGCCTCCTGGCCGAGAGCCATGGCGGTGGCCGTGTCCGGCACGCCAAAGTTGACCATGACCGAGTCGGTGTCGCCATAGATGACGTCGGCGTCCGCTGGATACCCGCTGGCCTTGTTGAAGGTCGACATCACCTTTTGCCTGGCGGCAGGAGTGAGAGTCGAGGGCATGGGGGTTGGGAAAAGAGGATCTGACGCGTACTGGGCTGCCTTGTTCAGCAACGGCAGCGAGTTTTGCAGGGCCTTCGTCTGCTGGGAGACACCAGCGCACGCTCGGCAGAGCAGTCAGTCCCATCCACCCCAAAGCAACCACAACAACAATCCCTCCAGCACACTTTGTGGCCTCGATCATGGCCCTGCCAAAGGAGGTGACCGAGGAGGAGATCTCGAGGCAGGGCAGGGCGCCCACGGTGGCGCCCGTGAAGCCGTACACCGAGTTTGCGGAGATCTTGAGTGCCAGCTGACGGCCATTGAACACTGCCTTGAGGAAGGGGTCGGTGGCCGAGGCCATGTCGGCACGAGCCCTGCAGCGAGCGGAAAAGAAAACGGTAAATTTTGTTGTCACCTGAACGGCGCTGCCGTGGTGGAATTGTCAACCCGCTCATCCCTGGCCAGGCACAAGAAATGCCAGCTGCATCAAAGTTCCCACGAGCGCCCACCGCGCCCCTCCACCTCGCCCTTGGGGCAGCAGCAAGCACACTACCCCGTCGACCTCAACCCTTTCACCACTCGATGACCAGACAGCAACGGCTCCACACCGTACACCGCACCTTTTCCTGGCGGACAGGAGCTCGCGCAGGATCTCCGGCAGCACCCCCGCCTGCAGCTCGGGCTTGACGAAGCGCTCGCCGCTGGGCGACTCCACGGCGCGCGCGCCCTCCCCCGTCGCCGGGAACGAAGCGTGCGCGCCCCGCGGCAGCAGCGTGGTGTAGCACAGGTTGTGCGCCATCATGATGCTGGGATACAGGCTGGCAAAGTCCAGCGTGGCCACCGGAGTCGCGTAGTACCCAGCTTTTGGCTCCAGTACCGTGGCACCCTCGTACGCCACGCCGTCCTCCCCCTGGCCGCCCCTCTGTGAGGGGTATGTGGGAGTTTCATGAGGAGTGGGTGCTTGTATGAGGAGTGGCTGAAAGGGGGTATGATATCAATATTTCCCTTCCTTCTCGTCTCCGACACAAACAGAACCAGTCCCCTCGCCTTCATGTTGGGCACCAGTAGCCCCCTGGCCCGGGTCTTGCGCAGGATCTGGGAGAAGACCTTGATGGACTGGCCGCGTGCCAGGAGGAAGGACATGGGCACGCCCGTCACGCGAGCCATCTCGATGTAGTTGTACATACACATCAGCTTGTCCAGCAGCCGCTGGGGCAGGTATGCGTCCTGCGGCCGGGAACAGAGAAGTTTAGAGGGGGATGAGGAAATGTACTTGGAGGGGAACAAGGGACCAGGGCAACACCACGAGGAGGGCGCTGTGGGGCCTGACAGCCTGCAGCAGTGTGGAACAGAGCCGGCAGGCCATGGGAAGATGTACGCGCAGCTCCCCACTGACACCTGTGCACTGCAACACTCGCTGGGCTCGCTCTTCACCCACCCCTTCACCCAACACGACCACACCCTCGCGGGGCACCTTGAGGCAGTAGATGGCGAGACGGCGCCGTGTCTCGCTGTTCCCGTCCTGCAGCTTGCTGATGTCGGAGTGGTGCACGTCCTCCTTCTGCTCCCCCAGGAAGTGGGCAGACACTGTGGGATGAGGGGTGGTGATTGCATGCGTGTGGGCTGCAGGCGCAGCACTGGAAGTTCTTCAGGGGAATGTGTTGGGTGGAGTGCTCGGGCGGCTTGTCGCGAGGCATGTGCAGCTGACCAGGACCCCTGTGTGCCGTCAGAAACCCTGCACGCAGCCGCTCCTGCAGCACGGCCTCGCCCGCCCTGCGCCTCTTCGGGATTCAGTCCCCGACAGGAGACGCACCCGATAGGCCTGCCTACCCCACTCCACAAACAATCCAACCCAGTCATGCACTCGCCCGAATTCAGGGAGTAGGAGCTGAGGTTGTGGTCCCGGCGGATGGCTTGGAGCAGGTCGAACTGCACTCGCCCCTCGATACCCACCTCCTTGTACTCGTGCGTGCCGTAGGCCTTGGAGCTGAAGCGCGCGTCCTTGACCTTGCACCGCCTGGGGTGGACGTGGGGAGGGGTGGAGTGGAGGGGGAGGGGTGCTGTTCGGCTTGGGTCCGTGGGGGCCATCGCCAACGGGTTGATGGAGAACTGTGTGCACCTGGGTCCCAAGTGCAGGTTCTGCATGCAGTGCCTCAATTTCTACTCCTGCTGGTAGAGGTGACAGATCAAGGCCCACCTCATCCCTGTGCGCACCGGTTGCGCAGCTTGCCCCACGCCCAGAACTGCGGCACTCCCAGGGCGGTGGCGCGGTCCAGCAGGTAGGGCAGGTCGAAGCCGATGATGTTGTACCCGATGATGACGTCGGGGTCGGTCTCGATGATCAGGTCGCGCCAGCGCATCAGCAGGTCCTTCTCGTCCTCAAAGGACATCACCTCTGTGGGTCGGGGGGGCGTGGGGGTGGGGCATGGCCCTGGGCGCATCCTTCAAAGCGAAAGTGGACCGGGGAATCCGGCGGCAGCAGCCAGGCCAGGCGGCTGGTGGCGCGAAGCGCGCGGGCGCTATCGCCCTCCGCACCCGTCCCCAACTCACCGGCACCGGCGATGGGGGAGCAGTCACGCAGGGTCATGACGTTGCGCACCGCGGGCGTGGCCTTGCCCATCTCTGTCACCAGAGACGCAATCTGGATGACGGGGTCGTGCTGAGCCTCCGGGAAGTGGCCCTGGAAAGGAAGAGTAACGGGTGGACGGGTGGTGTGGAAAGGAACTCGTGACACGTCAGCACCGGCTGAGTGGGGCAGTGGTGGCCGGTTGCTGCTTGGCGAGCGCAGATGGTCCTCGAAGGGCCTCAGGCCCACACATGGCACTGTTCTTCAGCCTCACCACTTTCCCTTGCAAGCACGCATGCCTGGCCATCCGCCACAGCAGTCACTCCCTGTGATGCAGCCTGCCCACCTTGCGTCCCTGGCACTCGATGTCCACCGACAGGATGCGGAAGGGCGCGAGCTTGGCCCACGCGCCCTCGGGCGCGTGGCTGACGAGGTCGGCGGCGGCGATGTGCGCCTCCAGCTGGCAGTGCGAGAGCTGGGAGGGGCCCGGGGTGAGCACGTACTTGCCCGCGGGCAGCTCCACCCAGTTCCCGCCCACGATGCCGGTGTCCACCATGAAGCGCAGGGCGTAGAGCACGTTGGACTCGTAGGTGGTCTGCGGCAGGCGGCAGGCCAGCCACTCCAGCCACAGGCCGCCTTCTACCAGGCCTGTGGGGGTTGGGAAGAAAGGAGGGAAAGGGGGGGGGGAGTTACTCATTACTGTAGCAGGGGGGCTGGATGAAACAGGGGCTGGAGAACATGTTTGACCAGCTGATAGCCGTTGCACATCTCCGGGCACAAGGGAGGAGACATGCAGCGCACTTACATGTCCTCGGGACTTTATGTTGAACAAGTGCTCGTCAACCACTCAACAGTCCTCCTGCCACCCTGTCAAATAGCCCATCACCCTACCTCGGGCGGGAGCAACCAGGCCAGGCAGGGCCATGACCACTTTCAGGAAAGCCCGAGACTTTGCAGGCTGATAGTACATCATGCTCTGCTTCTGCACCACCTCAATGCGCAGGCAGCACTGCGCATTCCCGCTGCGGTCCTTCGTCGCCAGCAAGTTCTGTGGGGAGGGGAGCGGTGGGAAAGCTGTCGAGCAGTATCTTGTGCAAGGCCCCACGACTCAGGCGCGCAAGCACCTCCTTGCATGGGCATCCAGCCAACCTGCCCCAGCCACACCACAAGGCCCCTTCGAATTCTCAATTCAGAGCAGGCACGCACGTTGAACATCTCGACAAGCGCTCGGCAGTCGTCGGGGCTGAAGGTGGGTCTCGGCGACTCGATGTAAAAGTAGGGCTCGAAGCCGTGCACAAAGAGGCACACGCTGTTCCCTATTGCCGGGTCGGACAGGAATGGAGCATGGGGTCGGGTTGGCGCAAAGCATGCGCACATTTAGTCCAGCAGTCTCAGGTCGCGACGTGAGGCCTGATCGCAGGTCAGCGCCGGCGTGAGGCAAGACCTGGTGCATTGAAAACACCCCTCCTCGCCACCGCACCGAGCTCTGTGACTCCAAACATGCGGATGATGGGGACCTCCCGCAGCTGCGCATTGTAAAACCGCTTGTTGGGGGGCCCAGAGGTGTAATCCAGCTCCAGCTGCTGGAACACTGCAGTGGGTTTTGGGCATGGCGCTGTTCAAGCAGAGCACATCGCCAGGCTGCTTCCCATCCCCGGCAAGCCAGCCCCATGAAATACCAGACGCACCAAGTTTGTCCCTGCTGGCATCCAGTGGAGCGGCTGGTGGGCGTGGCCAGTTCCTGCCGGCCTCGCCGAGGGCACCCTCCTCGATCTCCTCCACCACCTCTGGCCCGTCGTCCGTCACATCAAAGAAGTCCGGGACAGGGGCGGGGACCTCTGGGCCCACTTCTGGGGCAGGGCGCTTGGAAGGGAGGTTCTCCTTCCCCTCCATGACTGTTGCGGGCCGCTTGACATGGGCGGCCGACATGCTGCGAAGGGTTGAGCTCTCAGAGGGCTCTAGGGGACGTCATGCTGCTGCGAGCCGATTGCCACCCCCAGCAATCTTCCAAGTGCGGCGCTCGTATCGCACAGGGTTACGGGCAATCAAGACGGAGCCAGGAGTTGTACGGGGCGTCAGTGTCTCCTGTTTGGCAATTCAGGCTTGTTCGATCGTGCACTGGTCTGAGGATCCAAAAATTCAAGTTGGCGCCCACGTGTCATTCGGGAGTGATGTGCATTGTGTATTCCAATAGTTTCTCAGTAAGGTCATGCATCCACTGACGAACGTTGGTTTGATCATTTGTTCTACATGGAGATCATAAGCGTGCGAATTGTCTACTGAAAGATCATGTCAGGAGGATACAAACAACTCTGACCTTCCAGCTACACACTTTACCATCCCCAGCAACTTGAGGTTGAGTGATCACCTCAAATTGTTAATACAGGAACGTAGATGACAATGATGTTGGACTTGACGTGCATAGCAGTGTACAAGGAGGCCCAGCAGGTTCTTTGCTCAAGGCCATGTACATTGCATGCCCGATCTGAGTATGTCCAGCAATTTCAGCAAACTTAGTCATGCAGATTCCCTACACTATGGTTAATACTGAGCAGTGATTCAAAACTACATTCAACTACTTGAGTGGTTTGTTCATCCGTCGGCCCAGCCTTCTTCAACTCGTGCAACTTTCCTTCCGTTGACCTGGCATCCGGTTGCCGAGAGGTCCGCGCGAGTCCCGACACAAGCCCCACGCGGCCCACATCGACAGCAACTTAGGAGCGAACGGTTCAGAAACCACCCGCTTGTCTTTGCAATTGATGATACAGCGTCGATATTCTGCATAGGTAGGACGCGTGGATTGCAAGCATGCGCTTCGGTCGCTGCCCTTCCGGGACGATGATGGGCAGCGTCCCCCGCCTGTGGCGCTCCATCTCCCAAAGAATGGTGCGTGGTATGCCGTTCTGACATCTCACCGCCTGTGCACGTTTTCATGTTCGTATTGTTGACCTGCCTTCGCCCCTTTCCCCCTGTGCCCAGGGCTTGAGCACCCTGGTTCTGGCCGAGCAAAAGGGGGGGAGGCTGGACCCCAGCACCGCACAGGCCGTCTCCGCTGCCCGCGCCCTGGGCGGGCCCGTCACCCTCCTCTTCTCCGGCAGGGGCCTGGGGGGGGCACCCAGCGCCGGCGCGGCTCTGGAGGGCGTGACCGCCGTGCTGACAGCAGATGACGAGGCCCTGGATCACCAGCTGGCCGAGCCTGCGGGAGCCCTGATCGTCGCGGTGCAGCAGAGGTGGGGTGTTCTGTCAGGGCGACTGCATCGGGGGTGCTCGCAGTTTCCAGGGCAGAGGGTGCCGCTGCAGATCGTGAAGGAAGCAGGGGGACCAGGGGGAGTGATCGGTATAGGTACGCTGCCTGCTGCACCCCTGCGCGTGTACAGCACCATGCCACCCTCCCGCTCCTTGAACCCACGACACAAGCAGGAGGTCCTTCACGCACATTCTGGCGCCCAGCAGCACGCATGGCAGGAACCTGCTGCCACGCGCTGCTGCCAAGCTGGACGTGCAAGCGGTGGCCGACGTGGTGGAGGTCCAGGGGCCATGCACCTTTGTGCGCCCCATCTACGCCGGCAACGCCCTCGCCACGGTGGAGACGCCCGCGGAGGGGCTGCAGATGCTCACGGTGAGAGGAGGGGCTGGGGGTGGGAGGCGGGTTGGTGTCTTCTGGAGTAAGTGGGAGCGGTTGGTTTTCATTCACAGGGTGCTGTGGGAATCAACGACGCCAGCGTCACACAGCACCGTGGCGAATCTCTCGGCACCATTCTCCTGCTCGACTCCTCCGCAGGTGCGCACGACGTCCTTCCCACCGGCCCCCGCCCGGGCCGGGAACCCAGCGGCCATCGAGCCTGTCAGCGCCGAGGAGCTCCAAGCCGCCAAGGTGGGTTGCGTGCCTGGCTGGAGTCTGGGCTTCGGCTTCGCTTGTGATCCGCCGCGGCGTGGCACCCGCGCACGGCTCCCTCACTTCCAAGCAGATGCTGGAACCCTCGCCACCCTTTCCCCAACGACCCCGCCATCCCGCCCCCCGAACTCACTGGCCAGGACGCGTCCAGCACCTCCGCGTGGGTGTCCGAGGAGGTGGGCACCTCGGAGCGCCCCGACCTGGGACAGGCCCGGGTGGTGGTCTCCGGCGGGCGCGCGCTGCGCTCCGCGGAGAACTTTGCGTTGCTGGAGGCCCTGGCCGACGCGCTGGGGGGGGCGGTGGGCGCCTCGCGTGCCGCGGTGGACGCCGGCTACGTGCCCAACGACCTCCAGGTCGGCCAGACGGGCAAGGTGGTGGCCCCGGACCTGTACCTGGCCTTTGGCATCTCCGGCGCCATCCAGCACGTGGCCGGGATCAAGGACGCCAAGACCATCGTGGCGGTGAACACCGACGCGGACGCGCCCATCTTCGAGGTGGCAGACTACGGCCTGGTGGGGGACCTGTTTGAGGTCATCCCGCAGCTGCAGGCCGAGCTGGCGGCCGCCAAGGCGCAGTGATACTAACTGAAGTTTTGAGTTGGGTGGCGGGCCATGTGCGTGGGATTTGGTGGCCTATGAGGGCTGGTCGTGGTCCCCCAATGCACCGGGGGGAAGGGCCGAGGCGCCTCCCCTTCATCATGTGAGCAACAAACATGCAGCGCGCGCGACGACAGGAACTCGGATCCGACAGACGGGAGCACCCTTCTCGCCGAGACGCCGCCCTTAAATCGTCTTCACCTCATCATAAGAACACCGACAACCTCTGGAATCTACAGTGCACAGCTCCGATCTCGTATCCCGGGCCTGACGCAGCCGGACTCACGCCCCCTGACCAGCCTGGCGAGATGGCGAGCGTACTGGATCTCAGCCTGGACTTCGATACCCCGGGCGACCGGCTCAAGTGGCTTCTGGTCGTGCAACTGGGCCTTAGTGCATTCCTGAGCGACTCTGCAGCGGCTGTGGCGGTGCTGGGCCTCGTCGCAGTGGTCTGGACGCAGAGGGAACTGCTGTCTTTATTCCTGGTGGGTTTTGCTCAGATGGCCGGGCGGTGCGACGATGCCCCGGCAAGTTCCCCCGTCTGCGTGGTTCAGGGATGAGAGACAGTGTCTCTTGTGATCACCCCTTGCCATGTCCTTGGGGTCCATGCAGCTCCCCATCCACCTCCATCATTCCCAGGTGGTGTCCCCCGCATTCATTGTGGCCGACGTGTTTTGGCTTATCGGAGGCAGCCACGGCCTGGCAGCCTGGGTACTGGCCATCATCCAGCTCACGGTGAAGGCAGCCAGCCTGGTGAACGCCTTCCAGTGGCTGCAGGCCACCTCAGGTGAGATGCAACAGAAGCGGCAGTCAAGGGTGCTCCAAGGCTGCACATCGCAGCAGAGGCGCAGGCCCCATGGAGGGCATGCAATGCCTCTCCTTTGGCCATCCCTTGAGCACCATTCATCCTTCCTCCACCCTCTCACACTGCAGGCTCCGCTGCGGGCGCGACAGAGTACCAGCCATTTGGCCTCGGCGGGTCTGGGCGGCGAGACCCCTTCAACTCCGCCGCCTCGCCTGCCTCCTCGCCCCTGAACGGCACGTCGCTGCCGACCTCGGGCTACACGCCGCCACCCACCCAGGCGGCGGGGCCTGCAGGACCGGCGAGGTCTGCCTCCGAGGACCCCTCCCACGCCCTGCTCTAGCTGTTTCTTCATCAACCACTTGCCCTGTTGCAACTGCATTCCACGCACTTGCACTCGCTCTACGCGCCCTTTCTTTTGCCGTGGCGGCCGCGCCGCGCCGCCCCTGGCCCCCAGCACTCCTGTACCTGTAGTACGTTGGTGTAGCCGAAGAGGCAGACCAGGGCGGTGCAGCACCACGCCATGCAGGCGGCGTCCTCCAGGAAAGGGTACCTCGGCGGCGGCGGCACCGCCCAGAAGCCGACCGTGATGGCGGCTGCCCCCGCCAGGAAGACCGCCCGCGCCGCGCGCCAGGCCGGGGGCAAGGCGGGGCGCAGCGTGCCCAGCACGGCGGCGTACGCGACGGCGACGGCCGCGGCCGCGGTGGCCAGGCCGTCCTTGCGCAGCAGGGGCAGCATGGAGTACACCCCAACATACTGCGCCAGCTCTGCGGTGGGCCCGCCCAGTGTGCCCAGCGCGGCCAGGGGCAGCAGCACCGACTTCTCGTGCACCTGGTAGGCCAGCAGGAAGAAGGCCAAGGAGGAGTTGGCCAGGCCCAGCAAGAAGGCGCGGCGCGTGGGCCGGCGCAGCTGGCAGGCCATCGCGGGGAGGACGGCGGCCAGCGTGCCGGCCGCGCAGAGGCGCAGCAGCTGGGACGGGGCCAGCAGGCGGCGCCACTTGATCGCCAGCGAGCTTGCACACCACAGGTTGGCCACGTAGTCCTCGAACAGGCCGCGCGCGGTGGGGAAGATGCGGCGCAGGACGGGGAGGGGGCCCCCTGGGGTTGCGAGGAAGGGGACCCACACGATGCCAAAGGAGGCCAGCACGACGCCGCCGATGGACGCCAGCAGGAACAGCTGGTGTGGGCGGGGTGGAGGTCGGAGTTCGGAGGGAGGGTGCGCGGGTGGCCGCGGGGAGCTGGAAAGTTATGGGAAGTACAAGCGGGCGCAAGCCTGAGGAAAGGCATCTGGTGACGCGGCAGCTCGGTTGGGGTCATCCCTCCCCAAACCCCACTTCCCACCTTGCCCCAGGCGGATCTCTGCTGCAGGCAGGTGCCCAGCATGTGGCTGAAGAAGGCGGGGGCAAAGTACAGGATCATCTGCTTGTGGTTCAGTGCGGCACAGAATAGGGCGGCTCCGGCAAGGAGGCTGCCTCGCAGCGTGCATGCCACAGCCGCCAGCTGCGGTGGTGTAAGGGGTTGAGAGGCGAGCTTGCTCCCGGGAGGGCTCCTTTCTCTCCATGGGGAGTGCAGGCCTGGGTCGTCACAGCCGTACTATTGGGACTGGGAACGCACTCTGTCCACAGCCACATCAGGCCTGGCCCATGCCAAACCCTCCCATCAAACTGCCTCACCGTCAGGCCCAGATTGATGCAGTTGAACTGGAAGTGCCCGTGGTCGATCAGGATGAGGCCTGGGCCAAGCAGCAGCTGGGCCAGCGTGGTGATGGCCTGCCGCGACAGTCTGGCGCCGTGCAGGGTCAGGGCCAGGAAGGCGGCAGCCGGGAAGTAGACGGCCAGGTCCGAGGCGAGCACCGTCTGACGCAGCGCCAGCTTGCTCCGGGGGGTCTCGATGCCGCGCGAGGACCCCAGGGCCACGGCTTCGGGCACCCACCGCTGCAGCACTTTGCCATGCACCCAGCTCTGTGCGGTATGCGGGAGAGTGGGTTTGCTTGGTGGGAGGCGGTGTGTCGCCGACCATGTTATCATGTGACACATGCCAGGGCAACCCACCTGGTAGGCAGAGAGGGGAGGGTAGTCCAGACCCCAGTATGCAAGGTCATTCTGTGTGGAATTCGTGTACCTGCGTGGGGATGAACAACTTTCCATTGGGCAGCAGAGCAGGGGGGGGGGGATGATCGTGGCATACCCGACGCGACGCCGCATGACCTCTTGATTCATCTCACCATTGGCTCAGTGGAAGGTTGATGGTGATCTCCATCCAATGCCTCTGGGCCTCGTAGTCCCCATACTTGGGTGGGACACCCGCACCTGCAATGGGACAAGGGAGACATCCGATCTCGCGGAGAATGGTCACTTCAGCCTCGCTTCCCGAGCTATCCCATCTCCAAGCCACACACCAGAATAAGAGTGAAGGCCCAGGATCACGCGAAGCAGCACAGCCAGCAAGATCACCCAGCATGCCAGGAGCCGGGGTGGCACTTGCGAGGCCATGCCCTGACACAGCAATCGGGGTTCACATTGACTGTGGTGAATGCTCCGAGTATATTTTTACATTTCAACGTTTGTCAGACCGCAGAGTATCTGCGGCTGAGTGCGCATGATCATCAAAATTGTTTCCAAGGCGCGCCCAGGCTGCCGAAAGATGCGAGGGCGGTGGCAAGGGAACCTACACCTGACAAGTATCTCCATATCCAAGAGGGTGACACAAGCCACCCTGAGCAATTCGGCCGACATAGCAATATTCCCTCTTTTCCAGATGCCTATACACCCTGCAAGAACAAGATGTTGTGTACCCAATGAACCCCATCATCGGCGCCATGGCACTTTTACCGCAAGTGGAGCATGAAACATTAGTTTATTGACATGCGACTCGGTACTCGATAGATATCCGCCGCAAGATTAGAGGAGACTGTTTTTCTCTTCAGCGACGTCGATTCCATTCCTCGGCTCGATGGTCAAACTTCGGGTCAAGGTGAGCCAGAATCCGTAAAGGGCATCTCCGATACCAAAGCTGTATCGGACTACATCCACAAACATGTATGCATCACACTGTAGTGTCACGGAAGGCCGGAGCTGCCCTACGAGGCGTCTGTCTGGGAGAATGCTGGAGCAGCGCTTAGGTCCATCGTCGCCCTGCTGAATACGGCGGCGCCTGGCGATGAGGCCCGCATCAATCCAACCAAATCCCAGCCTATTCATCCACCCGCGCTCCCCGACCCCAAACGAGAGACTGGACCCATCGCATCAGCGCCAATCGATCCAGATGCAGTTCACCTTTTCTTTGCTGGCAAGACACTGGACCCTGCTCTCCCCCTCTCCACAGCCCTGGGCACCAATGAGAAGACATCTGCCATCGTCTGGGTGCACCCCAAGGCCTCCGGCAGGCCGCCGCGTGAGCCGGCTCTGGGACCCGATGAGCAAAAGCAGCTGATGGCCTGGCAGTTTGCCCGGCAGGAGGCTCAGCGGGCCGCCCAGGAGGCGGCTGAGCCCGAGGATGGCGGCCTCGGCTGGGCAGACCCGGGCACGCTGCATTGTTCCCTCCAAGGTCTGACTGCCGTACGTCTGCGCTGAGTGGGATTGCTACACTGCTTTCTCTTGCCCTTGCATGAGAGGCGGAAGCTGATACTCTGATGTCTGGGAGCCTGCTCATCTGCTTGGCCTCGCTCCATGCCCTCCGTCTCTTGGCATGCCCTGATAAAAGGTTCGAAAGAAGCCGCTGCAGCAAGGGGACTCCAGGAGATTGACAGAGACGACCCCTGTAACATCCTTCTAGAATGACCCTGTTGTATGAATTTCTAACCGTCCTTGGCGACACAGATAGCCATGTTCGGTTCCAGGTACCCATTTCCGAGTCCCGAACATTCACGAAACATGCTTAGCTCCTGGCGGAGGGATGGCGAGCTTCACTTGCCTGGGCAGCCATTTTTCATGCAAGCCGTGAGGCGGCGGCCAGGGCCTCATGATCGACTCAGAATCGGGACTGCCCCTCACGGTATGGTGATCTCTGACGGATTCGAGGGCGCAGCGATTCTGCATTATTGCTGGACTCCAAGATCCAGCGCGGCATGTAGCCACAACCTGCATGCTTCATTGGCTTCAGGCGCCCACGCCTGGACCCGGGCCTCCTGATCGTATCCCTCAACACTGACCCCCTAACCCAAGCTCGCCGGCCAACTGGTGCAGAGGTCACAGTCCCGGCATCACAGCACTTCATGTTCCAGAGAGCGCCGGAGGGGAATGTGTGGGGCACGGGCAAAGGGCCGAGCCCTTCTGTGCCAGGGCATGCCGCGAAACCCTGCAGCAGACCTCCCGGGAATGCGAGGATCTGGAACACAGACTCCCCTCACTCCCCCCCCGCCTGCTGTGCGGGCTGCGCCTTGGCCGCAGCACCGCCCCGCCCGCGCTGCCCCCGCCAGCGTCCGTTGTTCTGGCGCGGGGCTGGGGCTGGGAGCGGCTCGCCGCCCTCCTGCTGCTCGCGGGGCTGCCCGGCGCTGGTGCCACCGCTGCCATCCCTGCACCCGGGCACGAGGGATGGGCGTCAGGAGGGGCGGGGAAGGGGCACGGGGGTTCCGGGCCATGCTCACCGATGAGCACGACCAGGCTGCAATGCAAGGCGTCGCCGTGGCGGCAAGGCACCCATCCCCCAGGAGCACACACCCCTTCCCTGCCTCGACCATCACTTCCCTCTCCACACTCACTTAGGCTGCGGCTGCGAGGAGGTCCTGCCCCCCTCGCCACGCCCGCCCGCCACCTGCTGCTGCTGCCAGGGCCGCCCAGCGCCGCCACGCCCGCGCCCGCCGCGCTGTGGCCCCTGGGGCCCCCCGCGACCCTGGTGCTGCTGGGCCGCGGCGGGGACGGGCGCCGGCCCGCGCGCCGCCTCCCTCGCCGCCGGCTGTGCGGCCGCGGCGGCGGGCGCCGCCGGCGCGCCATACCGCGCCTGGTACGCGAGCAGGGCGGGCGCCGGCACGTTCTGTGCGGTCACGTGGTACTGCACCTCGTGGTATTGCGGGAAGTGCGCGTCGCCGGGCCCACCCACGCGCGCGTACCGCGCGTACTGCGGGTCGGGCGCTGCGCGGTGGCCGTGCGCCGCCGCCGCCGCGTCCCCGAACGCGTCGTCGGGGAGCGAGGCCGCGGGGTCGAACGCGCCGTGCCCCGCCCCGCCGCCGTACGCGCGGCGCGGCGGCGGGTGCTGGCGCGTCTCGCGGGGCCCCCCGTCCCCGCCATCGCGCCTGGGTGGGCCGGCAGCGGGGCCGGGGCGGGACAGCGGGCTGCTCCAGTCGGGCTGAAGGCCCGTGGGTATCCAGCCGGGGACAGCGCCGGGCCGACCGAAGGCCGCGATGACAGCGCCGTACTGCGCGGCGGGCGCGGCGCGCGGCGGCGGGGCTGCGAGCGACGCGGCGGGCAGCCCGCCGGCCGCCAGGTATGCCTCGGCCGAGGCGGCCGCCGCGCCGTCGCCGCCGTGGAAGGGGTCCAGCCCGTGCAGGCCCGCGCCGGCGTGGCCGCCCTGGTAGAAGCCGGACATCAGGCCCTCGTTGCCCTGCTGGGTTGACGTTGTGGGAGTTTGCGGGGAGGTTGAGAAAGTGAGAAACTGGGGTGGGCAGTGCATGTCCCCCGGTCGATCAGTGCAACAGGGGGGGGTTGCGTCCAAGAGGCATATCCATGAAGAAAACACCCTCCCACTCCGCCCCACCAGCACTTCTCGACACCAACAACATCCCCACCCACCACGAGCGCGGGCCCGGCCTGGCGCCACAGCGCCGCCTGGGGCGAGGCGAAGAGGCTGCCGCCGTGCAGGTCAAAGGGGTCCGGTCCCGGGTGGGAGGCGGGCGCCAGCCCGCGCGCGGGCGGGCCCAGGCCCGGCACCCCGCCCGCCGGCACTGCGCCGCCCTCGGCTGCCGCGCCGGCGCTCGCCTCGGCGTGGCGCGCACCGCCCGCCCCGCTTTCTAGCAGGTCAGCGCCCAGCGTGGGCAGCAAGTGCAGGGAGGCCGGGTCCAGGGGCTCATCCGTGGCGGCCGAGGCCACCAGCTGCAGGCGCGCCATCTCGTCCGCCAGAGGCGAGCTCCAGCCGAAGGGCGCGGACAGCGGCACGGAGGAGGCGTCGGACGGCGCGGGCGCGGCGGCAAAGGACGCGCCGCGCGCGGCCGTCGCCGCGTCCGGCGACGCACGCGAGGGCGCGGGAACGGCGGCGCCGCCGGTCGGCGGCGCCATCGCCAGGGAGGGGTCGAGCGGCACGGCGATGGCCGGGCTGGTGTCGTTGTCCGCCTCCGCGCCCGGTACATCACCTTGGACGAGCGCCGGGCCTCCATCGGCAGCCGGTTGCCCCGCCTCCACGCCAGACTCACGCTCGGCCCTGTCCTGCTGCCT